AGAGAGAGAGAGAGAGAGAGAGAGAGAGAGAGAGAGAGAGAGAATAGTACGGAGAGCAGGGGCATTATTTAGCCATGGGGAAGAAGGGGCGAGAGGATAGGAGGCGGCGGCAGTGTCGGTCAGACCTGGTGCCTGATGAAGATGGAGGAGACTACGGGGATGGCAGACGAGCGAGTGATGAGGAGCAAGTGCATCAGTCACAAGGCAAGAAGAATGTCCATCATTCTGCACAGGTTCATGACTCCCACCATCAGAAAGGGAGGCACCACAGCGAGAATGATAGTGGAGGTCACAGACCTGAGGCAGCTGAGGGTGGCTGGAATCATCAGAGCATGGAATGCGATCATGAGTGGCATGACATACAAAGAGAACAAGCCCATGAGAATGGACCAGATGGTAGCAAGTTCTATGGAGGAAGAGTCGACTCAGATACACAGACATATTTTCTAGAGGTAGGTACACTCATTGGCCCGTCGGGGGCCATCGAAGACGAAGAGGAGCAGCGGGCAGTGTGTGCAAAATCCCTGGAAGAGACGAAGGGCTCAGAACTTGTTGTGGCGTGTGACCCGCACTGCAGCCGAGTATTGGAGCTTGTACTTTCGTATGTCGAACCAACGGATCTTGTTGAATTCGGACACCGTGCCGAGTTGAGAAGGGGCCAGCCGCATTCACAGCTGTTAGCCGAGGAGCCTGCTTTGCAATCTGGATGGGTGCAGATGTCCTTGAACGCATGCTCTTCCCATGTTGTCGAGAGCTTCTTACGAGCACTCGTGTCATCCATATCGAAGATGTCACGGACAGCTAAGGCCGAGGAGAAGCGAAAGGCAGAGAACCATAAGGCAAACCTTCTTGCTGTGCTGGAGCTCTTGTGCAACAAGTTCGGAGAGGCCTCTCAATGGCTCATCAGCAACAAGTACGGCTCGCACGTGTTGAGGACGATGATGCAGCTGTTGATGGGTGAGAATAGCGACAGGGACGGTGACGCCCATGGGCATGGCGGGAAGGGGAAAGAGAGCTCCTTTGCTGGCCTGGCAGCTAAACTTCTCCATGTGCAGAAAGGCGCGGCACATACACGAGCAAAGATACCTTACCCCTTGCTTCTCAAAGCACTAGTAAAGAAGATCATTCAGAAGATCACTCCGAAGATCGACTCTCTGTGCATGGATGTGTACGCAGCACCTGCCATGCGAGTTTTGCTGTTCGCAGTCGATGCGGTCTCCAGCAGTCCTAACGCACCGGGTGCTGGTGTCGAGGAGGGCGACAACGAGTTGACGTCAGTTCTCCATGTTGTTGTTCTTATTCTGAGCCGTGGGTCACAGGAGCACCTCTCCAGCTCTGTAGAGGGGCGGCAATTGGAAGGAACGGATGCAGATCCTGTTCGAGATATGGTGCGAGGTCCGTCTGGCAGTCATGTGGTGGAGGCCATCTTGAGGTTGGTGTCAGACTCTGTCTTCTTGGAAATCTTCCTTCGTTTCTTCCGCGGGCACTTGGCCTCGCTTGCCCTTCATCCTCGTGCGAACTTTGTGGTACAGACACTGATTGCATGCGCAAGACACTCAGGACAAGTGAGCATGATGATGGAAGAACTCGAGAGCCGTTTTGGCGAACTGCTTTTGCATCGGCGCGCAGGGGTCGTTGCAGCATTGCTGGCTGCTTGTGGGCGGTATCGCGTGAAGCAGCGGGAGGCTTGCAAAGCACTCTCACAGGCACTCAGCAAGGCAGATCTGTCTGTGTTTCCGTGCTCAATACCTCCATCTCTCGCTGCTTTGGCATCCAATGATTTGATCATGAAACTCCTCTGGTATGGCGATTGCAACTATGACGGAGGAGGTTGGAAGGGAAAGAAGAAGAAGAAGAAAAAGAAGATGTCAAGGAAGCGAATGGGTGACGATTATGATGCGGAAGATGAGGGTGGCCTCTCTGGAGGATGGGAAGATCTCCCGCGCATGTCAGTGATGGGCTCTGTCATCCTGCAATCTGTATTTCAGTGTCCACCGGAGTGTTGTCAGGTGTTCTTGGATGCAGTCGGGCGGCTAGGGCCTGATGTCTTGAACGCGGCAGCACGTGATCCTGGAGGGAGCAGAGTGCTGGAAGCGTACCTCAGGAGTGGAGCACCACAGAAATCGAAAGGGAAAGTCATTGCGAAATTGAAAGGTCGTTTTGGAGAGTTGGCAGCAGTCCCGGCGGGCTCTCACTTCGTGGAGCGGTGCTATTTCACTGGCGATATGAAGCAGAAGGAGATGATCGCTGCGGAGCTTGCACATGTACAGTCTGAGCTCAGTCGGACATCGTTCGGTAGCATTCTGCTGAGCAAGTGCAGTGCTCAGGAGTATGCAGCGCAACCACAGGGCTGGCACGCACATCAGGCGGCCAAGGAAAAGTCTCGCCAGGCCTTTGTCGACCTTTTCCGGTCGGATGGGGATGCCGTTCCTGAAGGAACAGGACATGAGATGCAGCAGGCAGGGGATGCCCAAGGAGAGGATGATGTTGTGAAGCCATCGTCAAGGCCATTGCAGGAGGGTAAGAGTGGGAGTAAAAGGAAGAGAGATGGTGTTGATATGCCTGGAGACGGCGTGTCAACGAGACAGGTTTCAGCTTTGGACGAAGATCCCGCGCTCCAGGAAGTCATGAGTAAGCTTGGAGCAAAGAGTAAACATTTCAAACAGTCAACCTCACAGCCAGCATCGGCCATCGAGGAGAGGAGTAGCAAGGGCCAGGATGCTGTAGGCAGATCGAGGAAGGGTGGAGGGAAAGCTGAGGGGAAGCATCGTGACGAGGATGGTGGAAATGAGGAGGTTGATGATATTCGGCAAGCAGTTGATGAGATGGAGAGACCAGCATCTCGCAAAGACGAGATTGACACACTCTTCTCAAGAAAGCATGCGAGAAAGAGGCTTCGGGAAGATGCCAACGAGTCTATGAAGGAAGGTGATGGTAATACTGGCCAGGCAACAACTTCGAGCAGGACAAGCGAGCACCAGAGTGCAACGAAGAAACACAAAAAGAAGAAGGATAGGAGTGCGCCGCCGCAGAGCGCAGAGCGAGTATCCAAGGAGGGAGCAAGGGAAGAGGAAGGGATAGAGGCGAAGGAAACAGCCAGGGAAGGTACTGTCATTGACTCCTCGATGAACAAGATTTTGTCTGCTATTGAGAGCTTGAAGGGGCCCAAAAAGCGTAGCAAAGATACCTCGACAAAGGACGAAAAGGCATCTCCATCGAAGAAGAGAAAACCACAGTTTGTGATGTCGTAGGAGAGATGCACACACAGCCCAACTGTTCAAGGAGGATTGATACCATTGGTTTGAACATAGTCGATCTCGAGTTAATGTTTCTTTTCCGCTCCGGATGATGCATTGCTGTTCCTTACTGTTGTTTCTTACCTCGCAAGGATTGGATTTGGTTCACCGCGTCTTTTCTGTGGCGTATAAATGATGTCCCACCAAAGTCCCATCTCCCGAGTCCCAAGTTACAAGGTCCCGAAACCCTGTTTTTTTTTTTGTTTTTTTTGTTCCCAAAGAAAGACGAGCCCTGTCTATTCTGGGGGGCAGGGTTCCGGTTGCTTATATATCACTGGCAAGCATGGTTCGCAAAGGGAGGGGGGGGAAGAATAGAAGAACAAGCACTACCTCGACGTCGTACCCCTGTCACGCTCAACACGGAGCAGGAGGTGATGGAGGGCAGCACGACGCCGCATGCCTACATTCCCTGCCCGTGGCTCGCGTAGTAGTCTGGAAACCTTCGCGCGGTACCCAGACGCTCACTATGTGGGTCCAGAGGGGGTGGGTTAGGGACACCAAGTCATACCTCTAGTCTCGAGGCCTCCCATCCACGTGTTCAATCCGCAACCCAAGTTCAAGTTTTTATCACTATTCTCATTCCACTACCTGGGCTCTTAAACCACCAGTACCTCCTAAAGTTGTGACCGCTAACAAGCCACAACAATTTCAGGAAATGTACGGGCCACTACAGGAGCGCCCAAATTCATCCGACTAGAAACCTTTCTACTCCATTTTCATTTTTCTCCGTGGCCGATAGATGGGCCAGGTACTGGTGGTTTAATTAACTTTAATAGTTTAATTAACTTTAATAGTAATACCTCCCAGCCATTTCAATCTTTGCAAGCGAAGGAGAATTGCCGGTGTTGACCTTTGACAAAGAGAAAGAGCCATGAACAAATAGTTTTTATCACTATTAATAGTTTAATTAACTTTAATTCAAACGACCAATGTGCTATGGAACCTGAATTGTTTAGCCCAATGGCATGTCATCAAAATGGAAAGAAGTTGAGAAAAAAAGTTAAAAAAACTGCTTTGCCTGTCATTATACAGATTCTTGGCATCCGAACTGTCGGCATCGGCATCCAAACTGTCGAACGGAACTCCACACCTGTACATGGCCATGGCTCAGGTGTACCCGGTCATCGCAGATCTTATCCGACAGTGTCGGGATGTGCTTGCCATTCTTTTCGCCTATGGTATTGCTATCTATAGATTCTATACACAGTGTTCTCCCATAGTATTCCTATCTGTAGATTCTATAGAATCTATACACATTGTAGTACATCACATCCAGTCTCAGACTGTCCCTTTTTATCGTTTCTTCAATTCAACCACCAGTACACCCGAGGCTAAATGTACATCGCCGAGCCTACATTTGAATTTTGCCGAGCCTGAAAGCAACCGGTACCGCCGCGTGGAGAATTGAGGGTGGCATCAGTACCGGCCACTGTAGAGCCAATGGACCAGCTGCCAGCAGATGGAATGAAACGGAGGTCGTCGTTTTCACTCATCTGCCACAACAGCCAAACTCTCCACAAAGCCAGCCCGCGCATCTGGCCAAGAAAAAAAAAGAAAAAAAAGAAAAGAAAAAAAGCTCACACGGACGTTTTCTGCTCAAGATGGACACACAATAGCAGTCAGATACGTCCCTGTCTGACTGTCCTTGCCGAGCGTGTCCGAGTGTACCCTCAAAGGAATGTGCCTGTATCTAGCCCAAAATGGGCAAAGATTCGTGGAAAAAAAAAAAAAAAAAAAAAAAAACCCTTACTTTCAGAAAGGCTGGCACCCCCTGAAAACGGGCGCCTGTCTTTCAGAAAGGCTGGCACCCTTGTGATCACAGACGCCAGTAACTGGTTGGGGGCAAAAAAAAAAAAAAAAAAAAAACTGGTTGGGGGCTGCTTGCCCCCACAGGCATTCCCCTAGATGTATGCAGCCTGCTTTTGACGGCAGGTGCGTGCACCCAAGTCCCACTTTGAGTGTGCCCTGAGGGAAACGGGCTACCAGAGACTTTCAGGGGAACGAACAGATACTAAGCAGATTTGAGATGGACCGCTACATCTTGAATCTAGAGGCTGAGAAAATTTGGCAGTGGAAGACTTAGCACTCACTTTGTTTTCTTCTTTTTTTTTTGATGAGCACTCACTTTAGTATCACGTTTTTGTTTTTTTTTGTGTGTTTTTTGTTTTCTCCCCTTTTTCTTATAAAAACTGTACTCTTCTCTCAATTTTTTTCCTCACACTACCTACCTACCACTACTCCTACCTATAGGCATACGGGGAAACCCGTAGCATACCAGAGCCGTGTTTTTACGGCCCCTCGAGCCTGCAGGATACTGGCCAGGGGACGGCCGGTAGCACCAGGGATAAAACGGACCAATCCCCCATGCCTCCCCTCAGGCCTCTCCCCTACGAACAGAGCAGACTCTGCTTGATGCCTGTCGTCTTGCCCCCAACAAAAAAAAAAAAAAAAAAAAAAACCCTTACTTTCAGAAAGGCTGGCACCTGTCTCTTATACACATCTAGATGTGTATAAGAGACAGCGTCCTAAGTGTTTGTTAGAGTTGAAAAGAAAACAAAAAAAAAGAAACGGCTGTAGGAACAGTTGAAAAACGCCCTGCCTTCCTGGCAGGGCACCTAAAACGAAAGACCAGAACTCAAAGACTTCCCTCGATAGGACCACTAGGTAAGGTTTTCAATGGGCCCACAAGTTTACTCCCCCGTTGCTTCGCTAGGCTTTCCGAGCCCCGATTTTTGCTTGTGGCGACAAGATCATTTTTCTGCAAGGCTGGGGCCGTGTACTGGTGGCTTAAGCTCCATGTAGCTTCCTCGTCATCCCTTAGGCGAAGGAGTTTACCTGCCTATTTCGTCCAATAAGGCTGAACCCAACATGAGGCCCTCTTGAATACCCCAGTGCAAGTTGCGGGCTAGCGAGAAGGGCAGTTTTCTACTTTTCACTAATACACTGGGGGGGGGAGATGTGCCGGTTGGCTCGGTTTCGCATTTTCGTTCCGGAGACTTTCTTCCTTCCTTCCTCTTGTGAAACCGCCACTGCCCCCGAGGCCAAGTCCCACAAGCAGCGTTGAGCTACCCTAACGCCTGAATCTGGACGTGTTTGTGGAGACGTGCAGTTCAGCAAATTCAACACCGTTTCTGCACATCTCCGCAAAAGCGTCCAGATTCCGGCGTTGAGGTAGCTCAACGCTGCTAGTGGGACTTGGGCCCCGAGGCTAAACAGATCAATCACTACTTTGTTTTTTGCGAGGCAGGAGCAGCAAACCCAAAAGATGTGGGCCTACCAGCTGCTGAAATTGTTATTGTTCTTAAGAGGTGCTCACACGGACACACAGAAAATACTTGAAAAATTGTGTGTGCGTGGGTGTGAGGGCGCTCATGTGTGTGGTTATATTCGCTATGCGCAACTCCACAACGAGAAGGAAAAGACGAACGGACCGTGCTGGATTGTTTCGTAGTAGTTTCACTGATTCATCAGGTGGTTGCGTGCTTATCTGTGTATGCCTAGAAAAAAACAACAAATGTCAAACTCGAAGGGCGACTTTATGTAACGAAGAACTTGAAAAAGCATTTCAGAATTGGAAAATAAAAACCAACAGGTTTCAATCTCGAAGGAATCAACAGAATTAAAACCAAACAAAAGAAAAAATAGGGGGTGTGGGTGGCAATGCAAAATTTGGCCCCAATCACTATCACTATGTAACGATTAAGCGACTGACGCTGACTGTAGCTGACACAATTCAGAACTCTCGTCCCCCTTTTGAGTTGCTGACCCTCTGACATACGGCGCAACACCTTGAACCATCCCTATTTCAGATCTTGTGGCTGCAACCAGGGGTATGCAACACCACCCCACTGTCAGATCTCACGTCAGGTTCTGCCTTGTGGCGGTTTCCAGATGAGCCAGGACCCAGATAATGATCCGGCGGGATTTGCTGTGCTGCCTTTTCAAAACTTCTCTCTTTCCGAAAGGCCACCACTAAATTTCTGTCTCTGACGTTGGTGAGGTTTATTTAGAATTTTTGTAAAAAAAATTATCATCAAAGATTACCGAAGTCGGCGCATTCAAAACCTTGCAAAAACCTGCTGACCGCCCGCAGGTGGCACCTCGACCCAACCTCGCAGCCGGGCGTGGGCGCAACAATGCGCATGCTAAGCTCTAAGAGATGCAGGAACTGAAGTGCTTTGATCTATCATGTCAATCGGGTTCATCCTCCTGATCCATACATAAACGGTAGATGGTTTTTTGCTCATTGACAAGCAGTTGCATGAAAAATGGAAGGCTACAGAGTAAATTAGCATGGTCCCTGCTGCAAACCCCCGCTGGCCCTCGGCATTGTGTCGGGCTCACACGAGTGTTCAAGTTATTCTCAGAGGGTCATGACTTGTGGTTTAAACCACCCCTCTACCCGCCTTCTGGAAAGTGCTCTCCGTGTGAGTTCGGGCGGGTTTTTTCGGGGCGGGTGGCGACCGTTGCCAACCGGCGGGCCTAGTACCGCAATTTCAGAGCAGCGACTTTGGCGATTTTTTGTGCTCAGCAAGGTTGCCAGGCCGAACGTACGGAGGCCCCTAAGCTGACCCCCGAGCATTTGGGCGTTCGGGTCCCTGTACGGGGCCCGAACTTCAAGGGGTCCGGACCCGGCAAAAAACAATTTTGGCACCGGAATTTTTTTTTTTTTTTTTTTTTTTTTTTTTGAGTTCTTTGTGATTTAAGGTACCTCCCTCTTAATTTTGAAGCCATTCTTTTCAGCCAAAAAAAAATGAAAAATCGGCAAAGATGGTGGTGTCAAAACTTGCTTGCCCACTCACTAATTTGTTTTTTCTCTCTTTTCACTTTTTGTTTTTCCTTTATTTCGGTGCATGAAAAAAAATATTATTTTTTCAAACTTTATTTGTAGATTCTCTATTATGAAAGATACACATATATACATTTTCATGGCATTTGTCGCAGCCAAAAAAAAATGAAAAATCGCCAAAGATGGCGGTGTCAAAAAGGTGCTCGCCCACTCAATAATTTCATCGTTTTATTTTTTCTAATTTTTATTGGGGTTATTCATTGGGGCAAAAGTTTTTCGGGTTATTTTTTTAAGTGGGTTTTGGCATAGCTAAATGCTCTTTAAATTATTTTTTTAAGTGGGTTTTGATAAAAAAATTTCG